TTTAAGTTTATTATAATAGATCCACTTATAAGTTTATTATTAAGGTCATTACTATAGATCCACTTATAAGTTTATTATTAAGGTCATTACTATAGATCCACTTATAAGTTTATTATTAAAGTTATTACTGTATATCTACTTATAAGTTTATTATTAAAGTTATTACTGTAGATCTGCTTATAACTTTATTATTAAAGTTATTACTGTAGATCTACTTATAGGTTTATTATTAAGGTTATTACTATAGATCCAGTTATAAGTTTATTATTAAAGTTATTACTGTAGATCTACTTATAAGTTTATTATTAAGGTTATTACTATAGATCCAGTTATAAGTTTATTATTAAAGTTATTACTATAGATCCACTTATAAGTTTATTATTGTAGATTCATTTACACCATTATTAAGTATATTATTGTAATTTCATATACACCATTATTAAGTTTATTATTGTAAATTCATTTACACCATTATTAAGTTTATTATTGTAGATTCACTTACACCATTATTAGGTTTATGATTGTAGATCCATTATACCATTGTTAAGTTTATTATTGTAAATCACTTGCACCATTATTAACTTTATTATTGTAAATCACTTGCACCATTATTAACTTTATTATTGTAAATCACTTACACCATTATTAGGTTTATGATTGTAGATCCATTATACCATTGTTAAGTTTATTATTGTAAATCACTTACACTATTATTAACTTTATTATTATAAATCACTTGCACCATTATTAAGTTTATTATTGTAAATCACTTGCACCATTATTAACTTTATTATTGTAAATCACTTACACCATTATTAAGTTTATTATTGTAAATCACTTACAACATTATTAACTTTATTATTGCAGTCCACTCGTCTGGGTTTTCCCACATCAGGACTCGAATCAATTGACTTTCAAGAGACGTGACCACCTTTTGCTGACTTCTGTTTTAAGTTGAACGAGTGAATTTTCGAGTAAGTGTTTGTAGAAGACTTCTTTTGTCTCTGTTTTTTGGGTAAGTGTTTGTAGAAGATTCTTTCATCTCTGTTTTTAGAGTAAGTGTTTGTTGAAGCCTTTTTTATCTCTGTTTTTCTCGTGTGTGGTTGTAGAATACTTCTTTTATCTCTGTTTTTTGGGTAAGTGTTTGTAGAAGATTCTTTTATCTCTGTTTTTCTCGTGTGTGGTTCGTAACCCGTTATTTTAATATTATTCCAATTTATTGCACAGACTTATTTTCGGGCATGATGGGCTATTAGATGGCAGATAGATGATAGACTACTGCAGATAGATCGGTATTACAAAGTCTTGTATACCTGTTGCTCGTGTTGGTATTTTTCGTTCCTCCACTGTATTTGAGTTCACGTCCACCAGGTGTGTTGTAAATGGTGTTTACTACAGAGACCATGTTGTATTGTAGCTTCTGAACACTATTCTGTCGTCATACTTTGTATGTATCCAATGTAAGTTTGTTCATTCTTGAAACAAGACAGTCTAGGGCAGTGTTTTTCAACCTTTTAGACACCAGGGATCGACTCACTTCCCCCTTAAACCAATGTGAACCATTAAAATGCAAACACAACGAAAAACCATTACGAGTTACGTACAAATAATATGTCAGTTTTTGTTTTTCGTTTTTGTGAAATCCCACGGAGTTGCATGGTGGTTATGACATACAGGTGATTGAGAAACACTGGATATAAACCCCCGTCTTTACACAGTATGGGTGTTTTATTTATAGTCGGCGTATTGTGAGTTCCCTAAGTGAGGTGTACAAAAACTGTATATTTAATTCGGGGTTTTATTAACCGTATTGGTTAGAATAGTTAGTACATCGAATGTCAATGCCTTTTATTTTGATTTATTTTTTATTATTATACTTTTACTATAACAATTGTTTTGCAGTGTCAGCTCAGGATTTATATTTAGGCCTAAGCTAAATCTTCGAAGCTGACCGAACCTCTTGAGGTATTATTTGGATTATGGCCGAATATATCGTTAACAGCTGGGGTACACAACTAATGAAACGATATGTTATAATCTATGCAAGTAGAAACGTGAGAAAAGTATATTGAATTATCTATACTGATGAAGAGGTTCGTTTTTAGTTTCACAACTTGCTCTGATCGGAAGTTATTAATATTGTTGCGTATCTGCTTGTTTGTTAATTTCCGGTAGAAATTCTTTCCTAGGAACTTCAGCGATACAAGTCCTTTCTGGATTAAACCAGTTTATTCTTTCTCGATACAAACTTTTAGCACATTGTAATTTCACAATAAGTACGTTTCTCATCACTTTAAATTAACTACTTTTATAATACACGCTATAAATCACAGCGATTCACAATCTCGAAAACACACACTAGCTCGAAACGGAATCGTAAATTACCCGGAACTCTCTTCATTCCATCATACCGCAAGCTTTGTCTGCGAGGCTTATATACTAAAAAAGAGGGCGTCTCGAATGCACTAGGAAATTCACGTTCATTCGAGAAATTTCACGTACGCTACCAGCGCCAAACGCACCAGCAACGTCACGTGACTTCCTCCGTCATAACAATATTTTCTGTAAACTTAAGTAGCATTTGTCTTTGCCACCATTACCTTCAGGATCAGGACTGGGCTATGTTCTTCTGTTTCCAGTATGAATGTTGCCAAAATTAAACGCACATTAAGAAACAAGAACGTTCAGAATTATCCATCAGTCATACATGTACTAACTGATTATCGTATGCAAACAGCAGCGATGCCAGGCAACCAGTGTTATAGACGTTCAGAATCTCAACTTTGTTTTACTCTTTCGTTGTATAATATACGAATTTGTCGTATCATTTACCTTCAATAGGATAGGTCAAGGTTATATCAAAGATTTATGATATACGAATTTGTCGTATCATTTACCTTCAATAGGATAGGTCAAGGTTATATCAAAGATTTATGATATACGAATTTGTCGTATCATTTACCATCAATAGGATAGGTCAAGGTTATATCAAAGATTTATGACATACGAATTTATCGTATCATTTACGATCAATAAGATTGGTCAAAGTTATATCAAAGATTTATGACATACGAATTTATCGTATCCTTTACCTTCAATAGGATAGGTCAAAGTTATATCAAATATTTATGATTTACGAATTTATCGTATCATTTACGATCAATAAGATTGGTCAAGGTTATATCAAAGCTTCATGATGTACGAATTTGTCGTATCATTTACCTACAATAGGATAGGTCAAGGTTATATCAAAGCTTCATGATGTACGAATTTGTCGTATCATTTACCTACAATAGGATAGGTCAAGGTTATATCAAAGCTTCATGATATATTCATGATATATCAAATGATACGAATTTGTCGTATCATTTGATTGAAGCAGACTAAATCAAGGCCGTTCACCGGAGTTAAATCAAAGATTTACTATTTACGTAAAGTAAGTTGATCAAAAGTAACCATTGAAACACAGGCGTTTACCTTACTATAAAGAAGAGCCGCTACGTGTATGTTAACATCCATCATCCACAAAGTAACCATTGAAACACAGGCGTTTATCTTACTATAAAGAAGATCCGCTACGTGTATGTTAACATCCATCATCCACAAAGTAACCATTGAAACACAGGCGTTTATCTTACTATAAAGAAGATCCGCTACGTGTATGTTAACATCCATCATCCACAAAGTAACCATTGAAACACAGGCGTTTATCTTACTATAAAGAAGATCCGCTACGTGTATGTTAACATCCATCATCCACAGTTGGCTTCCTCAATTACT